TAAGTACATAGGAAATATATTAATAAAGCTTGAATTACTATCACATAAAATATATTGGTTATTATTGAAATCGATTCGTTGCAACAATTTTTTCGAACAATGAACTGAGATATTAGTCAGAAAAAAATAATTGTGAATTTGCTTGTTTTTTATTGTTTTTGTTTTGTTTTGTTTTGAATATAATATTTAAGATAAGTTTTCATTTTATTGGTATGCAATTTCCAGTCTGCATTTTAGACGTGCCGTTCAACATACATAGCTTTGTATTACCCTAACCTACCCCTAACCCTACACAAATGAGCACAGGATTGCAAAAAATTAACCTTGTCTATCACATAAAATTTGATTGAAAGTGCATTAAAGACACGTTGAAGTCAACGAAAAGTATTTGTAATACTTCTGGTCTTATCAAATTTTTTAAGTGTTCATATAAGCTTAATATTATATAACTCTCATACCTTGTAAGGATGCTTGTTATTTTTTGTTTTAACTGAGAAAGAATACCGTTGTTAACTAACATTGACTTAGTAAGGAATATGACACTTTATTTGCACTCTTGAGGTCAAGCAAAAGACTACAACAAGTTATAAAGCTGAACTTTTACAAGTTGTGCTTTCGTATTTAATCCTTTTGCCAGATCGCCCCGACACTTCAGCGAAAATCTTAATTCATCATTTTTTAAATTGATGGATTTCGACCATCTAAAGAAGAACCAGGAATATCACACTCGTGTAGCTTTACAGAAGGGGAGAATCTACGTAGCACTCAGTTGATGTAATATATTCATAAAGATRTAATACAAAACACATAATACAATAGAACAAGAGACAATGGAATACAATACATTTTATGAATACATTACATCAACTGCGTGCTASGTAGGTCTYCCTTTACAGAAGACRCCATGTTTCATCCTAAAATKCCTCGTTCTCGCGCTCGCCCCATTCGTCCTCTTAGAGGCAGCCATTTTAATGAAATCGGTGTATRTATCAGGGTTACAATACTCCTGTTTTTTTCCCTTTCTTTAAGAGAGAAGGCGATTTTTTTCGTTAGTTTAATTCCTTTATCTTTTATCGGGCATAGTGGTTGTTTTGAGGGGTTCCTTTAACGATGTATTATCGTTGTGAGTAGTATCGTAGTATAGCTGGTATTTCAACACTGAGTGGTTCAGCAGTAGTTGCATTATCTCTTATAAATCGTGAAAATTGGAAGACCCCTTGATATACTCTCTCATATATAAAACACTGAAAAAAATGAATTGAGTGAAATGACTATTCAACAAACAAAATTTTATCTCAACTACTTTTAATCATACATTTTATACTTATTGGATATAATGAGAACATTTTGCTAGAATGTTTTGGTTTAATCAAACTAAACTAGCCTAAAATTGTCGTTGATCTTCACTGTATAGCATATTTCAGCTTTCATTACTAGTCAHTTTTTACATTTTCCTGGATTAAGAACAAATCTCACACTGTAATAATGCGTACATAGTTCCCATACCAAAACATATATATTAAAGAAAAAGGTTTTTACAGCTGGAGTTGAAAAACTCATGCGGCGTTTAAGCTACATGAACTTTCTCCTAATCCTCAAATAATCAAAAATAAACAAAATATAATTATCCAATAAACTTGGTCCACAACGAAAGTGCCAGTATTTTTAATCCTCTGAGGCTTTTGTTTTGCCATTCGTTTCGACTCTGTCCCAAATGTGCAGATTGTGACTATATCCGCTCGGATTTTTTTTGCTGTAGAATGGCAGAGATTCTTTACCGCGATGGAGAGCAGGAGAATCAGGAGAGTTTGCTAAATTCACATGGTCAATACTATCATTCGAGGTGATGCTGTAGTTTAGAGACCTTTAACSTCATCAGTTGATTTCTCTGGGGTGRTATWAAWTCCAGATTCTCCAGAATCGTCGCTCAAAGTTACAATTGTTATTCTTATTCTTATTGTTGTTCTTTTCTTTTTTGGAGTGAAATTTATACGTGGCGTCATCACAGGTCAAAGGGAGAAACGTTCTTCAGAAGATAGCTAACTTATGAACTTGAGTATCATGTCACACAATTGACAATTAACAGATATAATACAGCAATCGCATGTTTGACCTCCCCAAGCGTCWACTTAGCATGATAGCATTTACAATTTAGCGTCTGCCATAACATATTAGGTCAACTGTTCTTGCTTTGACATTGGAGATTTACTTAATTCCATGATTTTTTGTAGATCTGGGTTTTTACATCAAAAACGTCTTTTAATTTACATATCGTAAAACCAATTTATAAATTTATAATAATAAATTGGGTGTTGTGACGAAGGCCAGACTCAAACTTGACTTCGGGGAACAAGTAATCACAGCAAGATCACAGCAATGTGATCTTACATGTAGCTCAAATGTCTTCATGGTTACTACACCATGCATGAACAGCATTCTTACATACAGTACAAATGTGTTCACCACCCACTGGTATTGATGAATCTGAACATGAACTGCAAACATTGGGCTGACTGAAATTCAAACCACTCGTACTTGGTTCATCAGAAAGATTGGTGAGTACATCAGAAGC